AAATATGAAAAAAGGCCCGATGAGAAACAAACCTTGCATTAAATACTTACAGACCATTAACAAAATAGTAAAAAACAAAAACATATTCCCAATAAGATAAATAATGATATTATAAATCTTGTGATTGAATACATGAGTAAATTAAAGTAAAGAGAAACGATAAAACGTATAGATAATGATATTATAAATCTTGTGATTGAATAAATGAGTAAATTAAAGTAAAGAGAACCGATAAAACGTATAAATAATGATATTATAAATCTTGTGATTGAATAAATGAGTAAATTAAAGTAAAGAGAAACGATAAAACGTATAAATAATGATATTATAAATCTTGTGATTGAATAAATGAGTAAATTAAAGTAAAGAGAACCGATAAAACGTATAAATAATGATATTATAAATCTTGTGATTGACTAAATGAGTAAATTAAAGTAAAGAGAACCGATAAAACGTATAAATAATGATATTATAAATCTTGTGATTGAATAAATGAGTAAATTAAAGTAAAGAGAACCGATAAAACGTAATTGCCTTTATTAAGTCTAATCTAATAAAATGTTGAATATAAGTCTAAAGCGTTAACAGTTTCATTATATTGGTCATTAGGCCCCATTTGTAGTACTGTGTTCAGTCTTAGGCTCCCTATCTTAGAAAGGACATTGAATTGTTGGCAATAGCTCAGAGAAGGGTTACTTGGTTGATGGCTGAGATATAAGTGTTGTCATACAAGGGCAGATTAAGATCGTTAAGATCTCTAAAATTGTTCTCTTATGTAAAAGAAAAGCTAGAAGGAATCTCGTTTAGGTGTTTAATATTATTAACGGATTTTATTATGGGTGCGTCCCTCATCATAGTAGTCGCTACGTATCTAGATACAAAAGTTTTACCAATGGTTTTTTACAAAGTTTGACAGTCTTGTCTGTAAGTTATTATCTATATTACTAACATTGTCTTGTTTAAGTACTTTACATTTTACAGTGCGTTTTTAAAAATTCTCAGGTTTCATCAAGTAAATGTCAGCTGGCAAGAGAAGTAAAATAAAAAAGTTAATATCTGTCTATCTATTTTGTTATTGTTTATTTGTTATGTTACTTTGCATGTAATGTTTTTCATAAAAGAAATGAATGCAACGCAATGAACGAGGTTAGTATTCAAGCATGAATGGTTTTCTGAAATGTTTAAAAGCAACGTTTCTTTAACATTACACACAAAGTTAAAAGGTAATATGTAAGTCTGTTCAAGGGGATACTAACACGGTTCATGCTTACGTTACTTTTTCATTTAAACCTGTAAGTTCCAACTCCCAGTAAATTTCTATAGCATATAAAAACATATAATAATTTTGTCTTCGAGTTTCCCGCATACTTTCTCACATTTCTACTGATCTAACTACAATCCTATACATATATGGTAAGTAAATTAGTTAAGACAAACAAGAAACAATTGAAGCTACTTTTTATACTAATTCCTGTCCATTACAAAACTGAAACGAGTTAGTTTCAGTCAAATATGTTTCAAATATAGTATTGTTTACTTTTGTATGTTTTATTACACTATGAGATGAGAGACAGTTTTCGAATTTAAACAATGTGTCAAACCTCTCTATCGCCACAGTAATAAATAATATCAAACAAACAAACAAAACTGTCGAAAGGTATATAAAACGTATATTAAACTACATATCCTGTGAGTCAGAGTTTTACTAATTTCAACCATTTGGTTGTACTAATACAATAAATGTTTCAACTCGCTCTATTTTTATTTTTTCAGCTAAAATGCATTAATGTTCCTACAACTTAGCATGTAGTTTAAATTCGTAAAACCTTCAGAATGAATACAACATTACTGCCTAAGCCATTCATCAGATATAATTATTAATAAAAAGCTGTGTAATAATATATCAGTCACATTATACATACTATATCAAATGCCGACGAGGCCTTTCGTCCATTACCAGGGATCTTCAAGCCAACTGTGATACAGCAGGCATAGTAGAGATTGAGAAGCTAGTCCTATTAGAAAATCACCTGACAACAACTCTCACAATGTGAACTGAATTAAGTTGGTGAATTGTAATTTTAATCAATTTTATTTATGTCACAACACATATGAACTAAGTTGAGCATTTTCTAACAATATATTATTTATTTATTTTAATATCTTATATTATTAATGATTATTTTACTTGAATCAACCTACTCATTATTCAGAATAATTGGTAAACCAGCAAGCTAGGCCTAGTAGTATATTGGACAGAATTTAAAAATTCGTGTATTAATAAACATTAATGTTTATAAAATATTGTAATCTTAGCCAGATGTGATTTTCAAGCTTTGAAAATGTATATCAAAAATTATCTTATATAAAATATGTCTATAAAAGAAATATTCTATAGTTACTGTCTTTGTCAGCAATGTTGGATATTCTTTTGGTATGTTAAAAAGATAAATCAATCAGCTTTAGGCGTTTGTTCGTTGTTTTTTGTTGTTAAGCACAAAGTAATGGAATGGACTGTCAATGCTTTGACTTTGCCCACCTCGAGTATCGAAACCTGATTTTTAGTTTTATAAGTCCTCAGACTGAGTCACAAACACAAATTTTGGAATTACAATTTTATTTAATATATTAGTTTTGTTATAGCGCTTTATCGGTGTATTTTAACTATAGTCTTGGCCAAAATGTTTGTATATTTTGTAACAAATAAGATCATTATTATTAAGATGGAATACAAATACGCTTAGCGCTGTCAAACTGAGAAATGTATGTTATAGTAAACATCTATTTATGTAATTTGTATAAGGAGAGAGGTTCTATGGACATCATAAACGATTTTTTAGAACAGCAAACAATTTTATCAGACACTTGTGTAATTCAGCATTTCACCAAGCACAACAAAACCTTACCAAAACACATATAATGACAAAATATAATATAAAATTATTATAAATAGAGTATGTAACCTTATATAGGTTCATATTAAACACTCAGTACTTGGTTGGTCCTCCTCGTGCTCTAATAACCTCCGCAAGGCGATGTGGCATTCTGTTGATGAGGTTATTGATGTAATCTACTGTGATTTCATCCCAATTTGTCACTAGAAGGCGCTGCGTTTCAGCTACAGTGGGTGGTTTTGGGTCGTGGGTAGCAATTTTCCGGCTCAGTTATGCCCAAAAGTTCTCAATGGGATTACAATGTGGAGACTTTGCTGGCATAGCAATCTTGTAACGTCTACGTGGTCGAGATAATCCTATACAATACGAACACTGTGGGCAGTGATATTGTCATCCTGGAACACAAGTTATTACAAAATCTTGGTCTAGAATATAGCAGAAATATTGTCTCCATGTGATACCTGTAGGAGGCGCCATTGACGTTTCCCTGGAGCATATGAAGAGCAGTTTTTTAACCATGATGAACAACTGCTCAAACAGGAACTGCACTAACTCCTGTGTGTTCCTTATGGTAAAGACAGTCTTCGCTTATCTGTTTACCAGGCAAACAACAAACACAAAGCCTACCATCAGCTTTAATAAGCCGGAAATAGGACTGATCTGAAAAAATGATATGTCGCCAGTGTCCTAACTGTAAGCTGGCATGCTGTCTTCTCCAAGTAACACGGTGAATTCTGGTTAATATCGGTTTGCAGATAGCCCTTTTTGCTAAAACCTTGTTTGTTCAGTCTCCTATTTACTGTTCTTCTAGACATCCTTGAATGAATGTGTTCAACCCATTCCTGTCGTAATGTGTTGCAAGAATTCTTTCGATCTTAACATGTTTACCTGATCAAAACACGATAATCTCGGGCAGTGTTTGTGCCAGAAGTTATAAGACGTCAAACTGTTCGACTGTCCAGAAATGGTATGAAGCAAACGGACATTGCCAGAACAATAGGGTAACCCCAGTGTATGATGGCATTACATGATTCTGTATCCAGAATCATGTAATGCCATCGGGTTACAGGAAAAGTTGTTCCAGGAAAGTCCACTGGTAGATGCCGAAAGTGACGAGGCATGACTCTACACCAAGTACAGATAAATTGTCTGAACAAAACATTGATCTGTTTCAAAAGAGACTACAACAAACGCACATTCTTTTATACAAAACAGGTGTGTATGTGTGTTTTGATGAACAGACCTTCAAAACAACTTACACAAACCAGAATAACAATTCGTACGTGTTTGTCCGATCATACGCTACCTTCTCTGTTACTACTCTGGCATTTACTCAATAACCACTCCATGCATATAGACAATAGCATCAATAAAAAACAGTATACAAACATTTTGGCCAAGACTGTATAAACATAAAAAATCCAGGTATTATTTGTAGATAAACACTGAATAATAAAGGTGTTTCATTAAAGAAAAAATCCTTGACTTAAAGAGAGGGCAAATCAATTTCGTGTTACACAAAACCTCCTGTTAATAAACTATATATATACATATATTCTGTAAGCAAACCATACGATAATTATGTACTATAAACTTTTAGATTGTGGCCAAGAATGATAAGATTTTGTTGATACGAAGTAACATGAAATTTTTAGCTTTGTTTTGGAAAAAAATGACACTCGTTTTTTGTTCAACGCTTCTTCTGAAAACATAAACAAATGCTAAACATGCTTGATATATTAAAAGTGAAAATTTGGCATATGTTCATTTAATCAATGGACACATTCAACCATTAATTGAAAACGTAACAGTTTTAGCTTTTATATTGACTTCTTTGAAATATATGCTGTTAAAGTGGGTCATAATTCCGACTAGATATCGTGTTAATGTTAATTAGGGGAATTAGAAACGATTCATCTCAGTATATTTTGTGTATTATATTAACAACTGCCCTACTATTGAAGTGTGAAGATAATAGTGTATAATAGCGACATTTTTGATCAAGAATGACATGTAATTATAAACAAGTTGTCTCATTACACTTTGCCAAATTCTCATGAAATAAAGAACACAAAAAAGCTTAAGACGAGTATATAATACGAACAGAGTTCCAAACACGTCAAACTATCTACATCCACAAAAGAGGATCAGCAGCTAAACCCAGTATGAAGAAAAGGGTAGGTGAGAAACTAGGCTTAGTAAACTGGAATCAAATTCTCAGAGCTGTTGAAAACGTTTGTTAACAGTACTCATAGTTAAACAGAAAGTTGAAATTTGTGAAGAATTGTTACTGTGCTATCAAAATTGTAACATCTTTGTTTACAGTTACAAATACAATGATTTTTAAAACAAATTAACACGTGATCTAATATACTAACAAATCACAAAATCCTAATTTAATTAATTCTTTTCCTAAAAATTGCTCAGTTTCAAGTTAAATCCTAAAACAATTATTAAAACTTGGCTAGAAGGCTTTAAATTATCACGAAAATTGACACTTAAAAATATAATTCATTTTTAAAGGTGTTAGCATATATTTTTAACATAAATGCATATAGTTGTTTCCTGTAATATTCTTACAAATAAATCATGTTTTTTCTTTTAACTTTTATTCCAACAGGTGGTATTTATTTTGTCCCTCCTAACTTTGAAAGCAGTAGCACACGCAGAAACCGAAGATAACGTGAAAACAGAAGATGATCTAAAAGCTTCAGAAACCGGTTATGGCGGAGTTGGAGGTTTAGGTGGTGGCTTAGGCGGAGGCTATGGTGGTGGCTTAGGCGGAGGCTATGGTGGTGGCTTAGGCGGAGGCTACGGTGGTGGTTTGGGCGGAGGTGGTGGTTTGGGCGGAGGTGGTGGTTTTGGAGGAGGTGGTGGTTTTGGCGGAGGTGGAGGTGGTGGTCTCGGTGGATTCGTAGGCATATCGGTAAGCTATTACATGCGAGACTTCATCATATAACCTTATATTCATCTTCATGTGACATTTATTGAACGTCATCTTAGCGATGTAAAATATGTTATACGTAATCATCTATTATAATTACTGAGTAACGCTGTCTTTAAAAGATTTACGG